TTGCTTCTTCATTTTGTCTTTTTTTTTTCTTCTATTTTTGGTGCTTTTTTCTTCTTCTTCTTCTTCTTCTCTTTTTTGATCATCTTCTTGCTTCTTCATTTCGTTTTTTTTTTTTTTTTTTCTTCTATTTTGGTGCTCTTTCTTCTTCTTCTTCTTCTTCTTCTTCTTCTCTTTTGATCATCTTCTTTGCTTCTTCATTTCGTCTTTTTTTTCTTTTTCTTCTATTTTTGGTGCTCTTTCTTCTTCTTCTTCTTCTTCTTCTCTTTTTTTTGATCATCTTCTTGCTTCTTCATTTTCGTTTTTTTTCTTTTCTTCTATTTTTGATGCTCTTTTTTTCTTCTTCTTCTTCTTCTTCTCTTTTGATCATCTTCTTGCTTCTTCATTTCGTCTTTTTTTTTTTTCTTCTATTTTTGGTGCTCTTTTTTCTTCTTCTTCTTCTTCTTCTTCTCTTTTTGATCATCTTCTTGCTTCTTCATTTCGTCTTTTTTTTCTTTTTCTTCTATTTTTTGGTGCTCTTTTTCTTCTTCTTCTTCTTCTTCTTCTCTTTTTGATCATCTTCTTGCTTCTTCATTTCGTCTTTTTTCTTTTCTTCTATTTTTGGTGCTCTTTCTTCTTCTTCTTCTTCTTCTTCTTCTCTTTTGATCATCTTCTTGCTTCTTCATTTCGTCTTTTTTTTTCTTTTTCTTCTATTTTGGTGCTCTTTCTTCTTCTTCTTCTTTCTTCTTCTTCTTTTTGATCATCTTCTTGCTTCTTCATTTTTGTCTTTTTTCTTTTTCTTCTATTTTTGGTGCTCTTTTTCTTCTTCTTCTTCTTCTTCTTCTCTTTTGATCATCTTCTTGCTTCTTCATTTCGTCTTTTTTTTTCTTTTCTTCTATTTTTGGTGCTCTTTCTTCTTCTTCTTCTTCTTCTTCTCTTCTTTTTGATCATCTTCTTGCTTCTTCATTTTGTCTTTTTTTTTTCTTCTATTTTTGGTGCTCTTTCTTCTTCTTCTTCTTCTTCTTCTTCTTCTCTTTTTGATCATCTTCTTGCTTCTTCATTTCGTCTTTTTTCTTTTTCTTCTATTTTTGGTGTTCTTTCTTCTTCTTCTTCTTCTTCTTCTTCTCTTTTTCATCATCTTCTTGCTTCTTCATTTTGTCTTTTTTTTTTCTTCTATTTTTGGTGCTCTTTCTTCTTCTTCTTCTTCTTCTTCTCTTTTGATCATCTTCTTGCTTCTTCATTTCGTCTTTTTCTTTTTCTTCTATTTTTGATGCTCTTTTTTCTTCTTCTTCTTCTTCTTCTCTTTTTGATCATCTTCTTGCTTCTTCATTTCGTCTTTTTTCCTTTTCTTCTATTTTTGGTGCTCTTTCTTCTTCTTCTTCTTCTCTTTTTGATCATCTTCTTCTTTTTTTTCATTTCGTCTTTTTCTTTTCTTCTATTTTTGATGCTTTTTTTTTTCTTCTTCTTCTTCTTCTTCTTCTCTTTTGATCATCTTCTTGCTTCTTCATTTCGTCTTTTTTCCTTTTCTTCTATTTTTGGTGCTCTTTCTTCTTCTTCTTCTTCTCTTTTTGATCATTTTCTTGCGTCTTCATTTCGTCTTTTTTCCTTTTCTTCTATTTTTGGTGCTCTTTTTTTTTCATCTTCTTCTTCTTCTTCTTCTCTTTTTGATCATCTTCTTGCTTCTTCATTTCGTCTTTTTTCCTTTTCTTCTATTTTTGATGCTCTTTTTCCTTCATCTTCTTCTTCTTCTTCTCTTTTTGATCATCTTCTTGCGTCTTTATTTCGTCTTTTTTCTTTTTCTTCTATTTTTGGTACTCTTTCTTCTTCTCCTTCTTCTTCTTCTTCTCTTTTTGATCATCTTCTTGCTTCTTCATTTCGTCTTTTTTCCTTTTCTTCTATTTTTGGTGCTCTTTTCTTCTTCTTCTTCTTCTTCTTCTTCTTCTTCTTCTTCTTCTTCTTCTCTTTTTGATCATCTTCTTGCTTCTTCATTTTGTCTTTTTTCTTTTTCTTCTATTTTTGGTGCTCTTTCTTCTTCTTCTTCTTCTTCATCTTCTTCTCTTTTTGATCATCTTCTTTCTTCTTCATTTTTCGTCTTTTTTCTTTTTTCTTCTATTTTTTGGTGCTCTTCTTCTTCTTCTTCTTCTTCTTCTTCTTCTCTTTTTGATCATCTTCTTGCTTCTTCATTTTGTCTTTTTTTTCTTTTTCTTCTATTTTTGTGCTCTTTTTCTTCTTTTCTTCTTCTTCTTCTCTTTTTGATCATCTTCTTGCTTCTTCATTTCGTCTTTTTTTCTTTTTCTTCTATTTTTGGTGCTCTTTCTTCTTCTTCTTCTTCTTCTTCTTCTTTTTTGATCATCTTCTTGCTTCTTCATTTTGTCTTTTTTCTTTTCTTCTATTTTTGGTGCTCTTTCTTCTTCTTCTTCTTCTTCTTCTCTTTTGATCATCTTCTTGCTTCTTCATTTCGTCTTTTTTTTCTTTTTCTTCTATTTTTGGTGTTCTTTCTTCTTCTTCTTCTTCTTCTCTTTTTCATCATCTTCTTGCTTCTTCATTTTGTCTTTTTTCTTTTTTCTTCTATTTTGGTGCTCTTTCTTCTTCTTCTTCTTCTTCTTCTTTTTGATCATCTTCTTGCTTCTTCATTTCGTCTTTTTTCTTTTTCTTCTATTTTTGGCTCTTTTCTTTTCTTCTTCTTCTTCTTCTTCTTCTCTTTTTTGATCATCTTCTTGCTTCTTCATTTTGTCTTTTTTTTTCCCTTCTATTTTTGGTGCTCTTTCTTCTTCTTCTTCTTCTTCTTCTCTTTTTGATCATCTTCTTGCTTCTTCATTTCGTTTTTTTTTTTTTTTTTCTTCTATTTTTGCTCTTTTCTTTTTTTCTTCTTCTTCTTCTTCTTCTTCTTTTTGATCATCTTCTTGCTTCTTCATTTCGTCTTTTTTCTTTTTCTTCTATTTTTGGTGCTCTTTCTTCTTCTTCTTCTTCTTCTTCTTTTGATCATTTTCTTGCTTCTTCATTTCGTCTTTTTTTCTTTTTCTTCTATTTTTTGATGCTCTTTTTCTTCTTCTTCTTCTTCTTCTCTTTTTGATCATCTTCTAGCTTCTTCATTTCGTCTTTTTTCTTTTTCTTCTATTTTTGGTGCTCTTTCTTCTTCTCCTTCTTCTTCTTCTTCTCTTTTTGATCATCTTCTTGCTTCTTCATTTCGTCTTTTTTCCTTTTCTTCTATTTTTGGTGCTCTTTCTTCTTCTTCTTCTTCTTCTTCTTCTTCTTCTTCTCATTTTGATCATCTTAGTTTTTGACGCTCTCTTTGTATTCTTTCTCTTTTTTATTAGGAGTGATTTTGGGCGAGAATATTTTGTCCACACTTCAACCCCGTATGCCATATACGAAACGTTACTAGCCTCTCATTAATCTATCCCTATTGCTATGCCATATATTCGAACAAGCTAGATTTTTTTTTTAATTCTCTCAGTAGGTCAATTCTATAACCCACCATCCCATTTTCACGACATAAAATCATCCTTATTCCCTTCATATTCCTTTGGTAAAGAGTAAGTTCCACTTAGACAGCTTCTTCCAAAGAAGTGTTACTTTGTGGAACAGATTCACAAATGGATGCTTCCTCGATCACTAGCAACTTAACCTCTTCTTATCTAAGGTCAACTGATAACTAGCCTACATACACTCACACTATTCACTCAAGCCTAATGTCACTCAGTAACACTCTACATTGAGTGGCCCTTGGGCTTCACAGGGTGAACTCAAGTAATATATATATATATATATATATATACACGCAAACTTCTTATGAGTTTACTGTTTAATGCCAAATCGCGCCTGGCTGCTTCAGTTGGAATTTTGGCGTGAATTCAATCATCCAGCGAATGTTTATACGCTTGTCTTCCTTCCAAGTCAGTAATCATCGCATCAACAAACAATTGGCTACTTGAAACTTTCACAGGAGAAATAATTTATGAAACACCAATGTTTCTTCTTTTCCCTTCAGGGGTGGATAAAAGGTTTTGTCGGAAGAATCATGTCAGACTCTTCTGCAATTGCAGTCGGCTGTCAAAGAGGAAAAAAAAGTTTGGCGAACGTTCCCAAGATAGGCTTTCTGAAACGTTCCAATTATACGACAACGTGCCACGATAGGGAACATCAGTTATTGTATGATTATTAAGATTTGGTGCATTTTTTTTCCATGGGCCTGTTTTAAGGGAGTTATGTGCGCAATGTAAATAAAATAGAATGAATAAAAAGAAAACATGTTAAAAAAAATCCAACCCTGGTTCTTACATATATTGCCAAGTTGAAAATTGAAAAAAGGAAACTGGATATTAAACTGCCGTTTTTTTTTTCTGTCGGAAATATTTGTTTTTAAATATCTTTTCCATGTGATTTTCAGACTTATCAGTCTTCTCCTGCTATGTGCCGTGACCCTTCAAGACGTGGGCGATTATAGCTCTCCATAAATTCCAGGCTTACGTTACATCACAAGAAAACTACCTGTTCCTGTACAATAACCGAAATTAAGCAACGTTGAGCCTGGTCAGTACCTAGACGAGTGACCGCTTGAGAAAAAGTACAAATCTTCTTCTTCTCTATGCCAAGTCCCTTTAGGAATTGGGCGATCATAGCTCTCCACAATTTCCTGTCTTTTGTAGCTCTTGATAATTTTTGCCTTTTCTTATCTCTCCTAAAACCTGTAGTGTTAGCTATTAACTGTAGCTCAAAAACTCACGCGATTTCTTCCTATACTTGTTTTAAGGGAGTTATGTGCGAAATGTACATAAAATAGAATCAATAAAAAGAAAACATGTAAAAAAGTGTCCAATCCTGATTCTTACATATATTACCAAGTTGAAAATTGGAAAAAGGAAACTGAATATTAAACTAGTTTTTTTTTTTTTTTTTTTTGTCGGAAATATTTGGTTTTTAAATATCTTTTCCATGTGATTTTCAGACTTATCAGTCTTCTACTGCTATGTGGCGTGACCCTTCAAGACGTGGGCGATCATGGCTCTCCACAAATTCCAGGCTTACGGTCATATCACGCTGAAACTACCGGATCCCGTACGATCACCGGAGATAAGCAACGTCGATCATGGTCAGTAGCTAGATGGGTGACTACTTGAGAAAAACCAGATGGGTTTGCGGATGGTTTAATCGATAATGGCTAGGAATTGTTAATCGAGAAACCGCGTTCCAAATCCGGTTGGCCTCATTATTCACTTACGCGCTAGAACTCTTCGGAAATGTATAAATCCACCTTTTCTCCCTATAGCTATGGGTTAATTAGTCAGACTTGTACCCTGAAAAAGATTATCTCCCCCCACACCAAAAATATAATTGCTTATAAAATATTTAGATTAAATAATCTAAATAAATTATTACATTTAATAATCCACAGATATTGATATGCCTCGAAACAAAACCAGCCAACCAACCAATCAGGTTCCTATCCTTTTGAACTCTTAATAATGTTTGTCAGTTTTCAACTTCCCAATTCATTTTTCCTCATTATCTCTCGCAGAAATTTCAGCTGTCTCTTTCTGATTCTGTGTTGTTTACACTTCTATTTTCTTTAAAACTTATTCTTTGCTCACATGTTCCGTCCATGTTATTCTCGACATATTTCTATAGAATCACTTTCCTGTTGTTTCCAGTCCTCTCTTCAACTGTGAGGAAATTGTCCAGCATTCACTGGCGTATAGGAGGGTTGATATTACATAGCAGTTTAACACACTTTGTTTCTAGTGAATTTTTCTTGATTTTCAGTACTTTGCTTAGCTTTTGGAAGCTATTTCAAGGCGCCTTCGGATTTCAGTGTCACATTTTTCCACCCTCTGTTGAAATACTTACCAGATATTTAAAATTCTCTACTTGTTTGATTTTGACATCTCCATATCTTGGCCTTTTACTCTTGCTGACAGCTATATATTCATTCTGCTTACAAGTCTCTTTCCAATACGCTTATAATAGTCTAGATTATTTTAAAGGCGTGGAGAAATAAATAAAGGAAACCATAAAAATATAAATTACTGTAGAAGACATGGTAAGTCGAAAGGAGAAGAACATTAGGGAAAAAAAATGATCAATTCAAACATTAACAATAATAAAAATTAAGTGATGGAGTCTTGATCAAATGTGAATAAAACAGTAACTTTTGATGATGTTAGTAAAGAGTTGGAATGGGTGGGTTTATTTTTATTTATTTTTTTACGCGATTTTACATTTTACCAATTTCCACTCATTTAAAGGGTGTCAAGTAAACTCATGGTCAATTTACCACGCAAAAAAAAACTTCTAAAAAATGTACCGACACCTAGACTTAACATTAAATTAATGTTCAAGTAATTCATGCAGACGTGTCTGTATATATATATATATATATATATATATATATATATATATATATATATATATATAATATTTATAGAAAAGACACAGTGACAAAAGCCGAGCCGCCAGATCAGGACCAATAATACTGATTCTTCTTTGTATGTTAAACATGGATGAATGGTAGGCTTATAGATTTGTAAGATATATATATATATATATATATATGTGTGTGTGTGTGTGTGTGTGTGAGCTGCTAAGAAAGTCGGTTTACTGGAATCGATCTTACAAATCTATAAGCCTACCATATATATATATATATATTGCTAGGTCAGCTGCTAAGAAAGTCGGTTTATTGGAATCGATCTTTCCGCAAGGTTGTCACTGTGTCTTTTCTATGAATACTTTCACGGTAATTGTTCGGATTAACTCTTCGCTGTGGTACCTAGACTTTATGAATTTAAGAACAGTATTAGATTGGCATCGAGATCTCATCAATTCACAGTTGAGCTGGTTGGATGTACCCGTAAATTATATGCTAACATGTTTTTTTTTGTTTTTTTTTTTTTCTCGCTTGTGGCACTCTTTTCAAACTCCATGTTTTTGGGCCAACTTTAATCTGCAAAAGTTTAAATGCAATGTCAATCGCTATCTACTGTCCTTCTGATTATATATATATATATATATATATATATATATATATATATAAAATAATGGACTCTCCCGTCGGTTTCGACGTATGAGGATATGACAACTTAACCTATTGATTCAGTTTTGAATTTTGTGCGATAATCTAAAATGGCGCTTAAGACTCGCTAGTGATTTACAAAGGAGGCTGCCTATGGAGCAAGGGTGAGGATTATGGGACGAGATCACTGTTAGATTGGGTGACCTTTTAGCTCTTGCTCTCGCTTCATGAAGGCAATTCAGACTAGCATATTGAAAACTTCTGAGTCCACTAAAACCCGTTAATCTCCATTCTACCCACTCCATGGCTAAGCGCTCAAGGGTGTTATGTGGTATATTGACAGCAAACAAGTTGCTCTTCAGCTTGTCTTTGTATCTAAGCCATGGGCGTCCTACATTCCTGTAGCCCTGATCTAACTGGCTATACATTAGGATCTTGGGTATCCTGTCATCAGACTTTCCCAAGACATGACCAGTCCACCGTAACTGAGACTGTATGAGGAAAGTCTCAATTCCTCCAATATTACACCTGTTAAACAGGTCTACGTTAGATGTCCTATTTTGAAGGCTAACTCCACGGATGGGACGCAGACAGCTCTTATGGAAAACATCCAGCTGGTGTATATGGTACCTGTATGGAGCTCACCACTCTGAGCCGTACAACAGCTCTGTAAACCCGAACATTCTATCTAGTCGAATACCCCGCTCATCCCACAAGCGTTGGCGAAGTTTGCCGAAATCACTGGTAGCCTTAGCAATCCGATGCATGATTTCATCATCTAAAGATCCACTGTAGTTGACTTTGCTATCAAGATAAGTGAAAGACTTTACATAGTTTAGGGCTTTTTCTTCTACTTTCAATGGTCTCTCTAGAAATTTGTAGAATGGTAGTTTTTGTTTCTCACCACAGAATTGCTTCGGAATAGGACAAGGTTGGTGCACTACTTCAGTTTTCTTTATGCTAAGTGTAAGACCAAAGGCTCTACATGCAGCAGAGAAACGATTTATTAGATGTTGGGTCTCCTCAAATGATGTCGCAACAAGAGCAGCATGATCAGCAAACAACAAATAACGGATAATTTGTGTACGATGGTGGGTCTTGGCTTCGGAGCGTTGATGATTGAAGTGTCCACCAGTTGTTCGAAACTGAAACTTGACGCCACTCTCTCTCTCTCTCTCTCTCTCTCTCTCTCTCTCTCTCTGCTAATCAAAGAGAAGATAAGGCCAAACAGGACGGGAGCCATGACACTTACTTGGTGCCGTTCGTGACATCATTCTGACATCATACCATCAGATACGATATTAGCTTTCATTCCTTCATGAAATGAGATGATCACCTTTAGCATGTTTTCTGGAATCCCGAGTTTTCTCAAGACTTGCCAAAGAGCCTCTCGATTCACAGTGTCAAAGGCCTTCATCAAGTCTACATACACCATGTACAACACCTGGTTTTTCTCTGCAACTTCAAGAAGAGAAAATATCATGTCAATGCCACGACCCGACCGAAAACCACACTGCGATTCAGGATAGATGTCGTCAACAAGGTGTATAATGATTCTGTTTGGAATCAGTCTAGCTAGAATTGCCTGCAATTGAAAGTAGTGATATCCCCCAATGATTATCACAGACACACCTGAAACCCTTGTTTCTGTAGAGGTGTTTGATAGAGGCGTCTTTATAATCCCGTGGGAGACAGGATGACTTCCACATCTGCAGGAAAAGGAGATGCAACTTTTCTACCAATTTTTGGACACCATGCTTATATACTTCAGGTTGAATAGGATCCTTAGGAGTAGGTAATTTACCAGATGAGTTCTGCTCGATGGAGACACTTGATAGGTAAGTTCAAAAGACAACTCTGGAATTTCTGGATTTTGCACAATTGATGTGATGGCTTCCTCACCAGTAACCGAAGTGGTGTTTAACACAGTTTCGAAATGCTCTTTCCAGCGATCCAAAATGTCTGACTTATTCGTCAAGAGAGTTTCACCATCTGCTGTGGAGATTAGCGCAACATCACTTTTCTGAGGACCGAAAACCTTCTTGCAGCCAGCATAGAAAGCCTTTACATCCTTTCTGTCTGAAGCTTCTTGGAGTTCAGTGGCCTTTTCAGACAATCAACGCTCTTTCAGGGCTCTAAGAGATCGCCGAACCTGACTTTTGCATTCTTGTAAGCGATCTTCTTAGTGAACGAGTTCTTGTCCTAATTCCATGCTTTATGAGAAGAGTGCATTTGATCTATAAGCTGCTGAACCTCTGTATTATTGTCATCGAACCAATGTTGATGTTTACGATGTGGTAGGCCAAGAACTTCCAAGGATGTAGAATGTGTTGCATCACGCAGAGCCTTCCAAGATGGTTCGATATCATTGGTAATGTTTAGAGAATCAAGTGCAGCATCAAGTTTGTCAGAGAGCTCAATTTCTGTTTCAGTCGATTTAAGAGGCACTACGTTAATGCGCTTGGGCACTGTAGATTTTATAATCCTTCGCTTCTGCAGATTTGATTTGATTTCTAGTGTATACTCATTTCTTTTTAGTTCCCAACCAGATACCTAAGTTCAGAAATGACATCATGACATTTTCCACTGAGCATTTTTAGGGGAAAAAACCACCTAAAATCCCACATATTTTACATATTATTATTATTATTATTATTATTATTAATATTATTATTATTTCATTTCTTTTGATTTCTGGTGTGTACTCATTTCTTTTCGGGTCCCGACCAGAGACCTAAGGTCAGAAATGGCATCATGTCATTTTCCATTGAGTAATTTAAAAAAGAATCGCATATTTTACATAGATAAAGCCATTCGTAATGTACTCATGGGAACAATTTTACAATAATAATAATAATAATAATAAAATATCATTTCCCTTGATTTCTATTTTATACACATTTATTTCTGGGTCCCAATCAGAGACCTAAGATATATATATATAAAACAGATAAAGCTCTTCGTAAAGTTTTGAGCTGTACTATAATATTTTGTATTTCTTTAAGGCATGGACAACAAGGACTCCCTTGAATGAGTCTATCGGGACATTTTCCAATCAATTCGAGGGTTTCAACTATAAATGGAGTTATTGATGTTCGTATATGCCATACCTTT